GTAGGGAAAAAAGAAACCTCATTCAGAGCCTCTGCCACTGATTTTTGGTTTTTGTTTGTACATAGAGACTTTCTTCAGTAAACTTACTGACTGATAGGATGTGCTGCCCTCATACTGGTGAGAAGAGGGTTTCCATATATTTTTGCAATGAGGAAGAAAGTGTCTAAGGAAGTAATAGTGAAGGGCATTAATTTGTTAAAATAGTTATTTGTTTAGTTGCATGTGAGTGTGCTACTTGTAAGGTGCAGGTCTGGTCTGAAAAACAAAACCTTCTCATTACATATTTCTTTACCACCACACTAGACTGCCTTCTGTCATATTTGTGGCTGGTTTCACAGTGAGAGATAACTGGGAAAAGGAATTGGCAAACTTTGTGTAAAGGTCCCAATTATGGAGATAGGTGAAAGCTGGAGACATGCGTACACACAGTGCCCCTGTGCGTGAGGAATAAAACGAAGACTATATTCAAAATCAAGCATCAGTTTTTCCCTCCTCTCTCCCCCTCAGCCCCTCCTTTTTTGTATTTCCATATATATTACTCTGCGTTCTTGCTGCTGTTTGGGAACACTTTATCTCTTGTTTTCTCTTCCCCCCCTCATCCTCTCCCCTCCCTCCACCTTTTTTCTTTGTTTGGTCTTTTCCTCTTTCTCCCTGCTTTTCTCTCCTGCACCTATTTCCTTCGTTTTTTTTCCTCTGACTTTTACATGCCTTTCCTTCCCTTCTTGTATTCCATAGGTGTTCTTACCTTTTTTAATTCAGTTGTAAATCCCAATACCTATCCATTCCACCGTCTTCTTTCTGCAGTTTCACTGTAGTCTCCGTAAACCTACATCTTTCTAGTTCTCTCCCTGGACTCTTCCTGATTGTTATCTATCTATCTATATATATAAATGTAGGGAGAGAGTGTGTATATAAATATTATTACTGTCTTAATTGCTTCCCAGCAGCATTCACAGAATTGCATGCATGTAGGAGCTTATTTGTAAATTTAGAGAGTGTCTAAACTTGGCTGTTTCGTTTCTGTCCAAGAAGGAAGAAGTAGTTAAACACTCTATAGCTCAAATTTGAGGAGGATGGAGTCTTTACTTGCCTTTCGTTTTAATTACACTGTTGTGTATATATATGTGAAACATGTATCTCACACCTTATTTTAAACTATTTTAGGCATATATATACACATGCTTTGGCTGTCATCTGTCCTTACAGAGACAGTTGCTCTTGGAATATAGTGAACAGCAAAGAGCAACAAATTACTGTGTGAGGTTAGAGGCATCTCAACTCCAAGTGATTCTTGCAGATGTAGTTTAAAGTGATGAAAAGCATCTGCTCCTCAGTTGGCTTTCTTTTAATCTAACAAGTTACATCAGCACAAGTAGTGGAAAGGTCCCGTCTATATAAAAGATTCTTTTTTCGCCTTTAATGGAAACAGCATATGTTCAGTATTTTCTTTACAGGACCAACAGGAAATAGAGGTGTTCTTTCTTACACATTTTTAACTCCTGTCCACTGCTACTAAGGCAAATCTGGCCTTGTATATAACGTGGGCACAGTATTTTATAGTTACGCTGATATTGAGCCTAGACTTTCATGTTTGGCTAAAGTGAACAGTTTTAAATGTGTATGTGATTGTGATTTGAAAACCTCAGCTGACAGACACCCCTTCATTTCCACAGCGTTTTGATATAGTGCTTAATTACCTAATGTGTTACACATTTATGCCTTGTGTTTTTAGGGTATCGTAATCAGATGCCAGCAAAACAAAACTACTGGAGGCATTGATTATACAGCTATCACTAAATAGGTCATTTAAAGGTGTAAGTGTTGCTGGAGTCTTAAAGCAGAAGCAAAGAATCTTTGTTTTATTTGTCATACATGAAAAATAAAAATAAAATCTATGAAACTTGAATCTCACATTACAGACCTGGTAAAAATTATCTCATTGAGAGCCAGGATTGTTTTTTATTTTCATTTCCAGCAGCTGCACACAAGAAGGCAGCCAAGAGATGAAGTTGGGAGAAATCAGCTTGTGTTGATTGTAGATTGAGTGGCATAAGGACTGAATTGTGATATATAGAGAAACTGCAAATTTGGTTAGTCATTTAAAAAGCAATGTAAAATCTTCAAGGCATAGGTACTTCCCTATTTATACAACATATAGAATAGTTGAAAAGGCGATCCAAATTAAGGTAGTTTATAAGAATGAACGGGATTAAAATGAGTGGTGGTGTCAGGAACTTAATTTTATACAGTTCTACAAATCTAAGGGGTTTAGATTTTGTCAGTGTCTCTTTAATAAAAATATGCTATTATTATAATGATTGTTATAAAGTCTTCTGCAGAGTCATTTCCTGGAATACTAATTGCAGGAGACTTGCAAAAAGGTCACGGTTTTATAGTTTTGTATTTAAACAAGGTCAGGCTTCCTCTAACAAGTTTTTATTGCTCAGAAGAGGGTTCGTGACTGACCAAAACTTAAATGGGCATTTGTGATCTTCAATATTAAAAAAATAAAGAAATCTTTTACCCTCTCTCAGAATGTGTTTGTAGTCAGAATGTAGTCTTTGTATTTTGCAGCAAGATCTGAGTCTTCTTACTTGAACACCCTTTTAGTCATACACTGTCGCAGGTCACTGCTGCATGAAAAGAAGGTAGTAATTTTCTGCGTAATTTCAGTAATTTACTGCCTGCTGCGTAAGAGAGGAAGTCAATTGTACCTGCCTTGTTTGCTGAGCCTCGGCAAAGCAAACTTTTAGGGTGTTTTGTGGTGGAGACATACTACTATTGGAGAATATGTGGACAATTCTTGGAATAGTATTTTAAAGACTTCATTTCTTTTGTTATCTTTTATTCTCTTTTCTCCTCTGGGGAGAAGTAAGCAACTCCTACCTACCTCTAAAGTTCAGTTTCTCTAGGCAGACCACCTGTTCCAGATCAGAATAGCTAGATGCCAGGATGTAATAACAGCACTCTATTTTACCAAAGCTTTGTCTACTTGCAACTTGATGAACCAGTGTCCATACCAACTTCAGGTGGTATTAAGGGCACTGTATGGGAACTACAAAGACTCTAGAGACAGAATTCAGCTGTAAGAGAGAACTACTTCTGAATGGCCATCTCCATAAATGAGGTAACAGAACCTGCAGGAAATACCTATGATAACTTTGACTACACACTGGTTGAAGAAATAATCCCAAGTTACTGCCTTATAAAGCAAATATGTCTAAATGACAAATAATAGATCTGCCTCAGTAGGCAGAAAGCTACTCAGTTCATCTCCATCTTCTTAAAAGCAATTTGGTATCATCCTTAAGAAGTCATTCCACTGACTATAAAAACATTTCAAGTACTGGTACTGGTACCATCATAAGCATTCTGACTTTTTTTTTTTTAATACAGTGAGAGCCCGTAGTTTTCAACTTTTCAGAGTTGTCAGCCTCAAGGGAACTGTGAATAGTTGCAACCATCCTTTCTTAGGTAGTCTCATGGAAATACAAGAAAGACAAGGTTGTGTGCATGACCCAGAATATCACTGCTTGTTTGCACACTGAGAACTTATGTGCAATTACAGTAGGATCCACAGTTACCACAGTCTTCTCACAGAACCATGTTTGGTGCAGATTTTGTTACTGTTACTGTGGAGAAGAATCTTCTACTTGTATCAATGGAATTACAACCTTTCCTGCGCAATCGTATGTGTATATGTTCATCTCACATGAGTGGTAGGGACTACTTGAAAGTTCTGTGGCAGAAAGCAGCATTTTCTAACAAAGTTTACTTTACGGAGTCTTAAACAAACAAAGCCAGTCAAGTTAGTCAACTTCCTTTTTTTCCTGGCTTTCTAATATTATGCATCATTCTAATTTTTATATTTATAGACTCTGTCTGTAAGTGCTACAGATCATGAGAAATCTGAACTTCTAGATTGTATGACTGTATAATAACTCACTTAAGTCCTTCCTTTATCATCTATGCTGAGGCTAAAATGGGTGCATTTGCAATGATGAAAAGGGATTAAATCCTATTTCTAGAGGATACAAGCTTTAATTATAAATATTGAGTGCTTTTATACTTTCCACAAAGGTTAGAAATTTAGCTTAAATATGATAGAATATTAATCTTTTTAGGGACAGGTATGCTGTAAGATTGGTTAATTTTATTTTATGTAATATCTTCTATCTGAATTTAAAACTCTTCTGAAAGGTACTTCTAGGCTTTTAACCAGATGCTGTAACAGAGGGAGTTTAGGTGTTCACAAAAATGCCTGTAGATTTGTTCTCTCACTTTTTTATGCAATAACATGCTGTCAGTATATTGCTACTATGCCATTTTCTCATGCAGGTGCATGTTATTTGTAAATGCATGAAAGACATGGCAGTGGATACAGCATAAGATTGTAGGTAAAAGAAAACGTAAGGTAAAGCTGTGATTTTGAAGGATTAGCAAAGTCACTGTAAGAACTTCTCATCAAATTTGTTAAGGATATTCTTGGAAACTTTCTTTTACAGCCATCTATTCAATGCGACCAATGGACGGGAGAAGAAAGACCTAATAAACAAAGCTTAATGTTTTGGAATTCCCAGATATTCAACAGGTTGTTGAGATGCAAATATTAAAAAATAGTAACTTTTATTTCTATTTGAAAGACCTGAAGGTATTCCACAAAATAAAATTCCCAAAGTAAATAATACTGTCAAATAAATAATGTGGTGGTCCAGAGCATTCAGTGTTTCACAGTGATGCAGCACTGCAGACAACTTTGAACATACTTTTAATTGGTTCTGATTTTGGCTCAAGTTTTAGTGGTTTTGAGCAGCATTGAGCAGTATTAGAGACTCTTAAGATATCCAAGCCTCTGAAGTGAATCTTCTCTTGAGTTTTTCTTAAACACTCCAAATACACAGAAGGGGCTTTGAACCCAGAAAACAAAGTTTTGCTAGAAAAGAAAATAATTAATTTAAACTCTAAGCATGGCGAGAATAGAAATAAAAGAATTCTAACAAATTTCCTTCTGCCAACTGCATCCTGGAAAGTCAAGCACTTTCCTTCAGGCTCGAAGGCCTCTAAGTTCATCAACCTTTAATTGACATACTGAAAATGTTAAAAGAAACTCAGCGCAGTCCCTTTTGGGTCCCTAGGTAATGTTTTTCTGCCTTGCCTTTGAGGCTTAGCTGTGATCTCTCCATGCTCTTACCAGCAGATTCCCAGTCCCTGTATTTTCTCAGGTTTCCTGCTGTGTCTCCCAGTGTGGAAGCTGTGGCACAGAGAGAGGAATATGGACAGTTCCTTTCAGCTGAGCATGCTTATTCATTATCAAAGGCAGAGCAGTTTTTTTCTCTTCTTCAGTGCACCTGACCCCATGCACAGCAACTACGATAAGGCAAACCATTAGTTCTATTTGCTGACCAGCCACCGCTTTTTTGAGGGAACATAACTTAAATTAATACATCAGTTGGAAATAAGTAGTCAGACACATTTAATGGGAGAGGACTAAGAAGTCTTATTGCTCCTGAGCCATGAGTTGTGAGTGAGGGGAATACTGCTGTTCTTAACCTTGGTGCACAAGGAACTGTGAGGAGAATCCTAGGTTGAGATTTGTACTAAAGGTGATGCAAGAGTTTCTAGACTTGTAACTTACTCATCCTTCTAAGCCATGAGATCACAAGTCTTGTATAGTAGTTTTTGTGTATTTTGCTATGTTTATTCCAGTTTTTCAAGGTTTTCAGAGAAATAAGTGAACTTAACTCGTTTCCTTGTGTCGTTAAGAGGGGGTTCGGTTTTTTGTTTTTATTACATTCTGAAAATGCAGTAGATTACAAAAGGGCTTGACTTAAGGAAGACTGGTAAGAATTGTTCATACAATGGAGGATGGAATTTCAAGAAATATAGCCATTTTTTAGATATTATCTATCTTGACAAAAAAAAGAACACTGGCAAATGAATAAGTAAACAGAATAAACATATTAAGGAGAAATTAATAAAATATAGAATGTGTAAAATTCTGTATAGAGAATTAAGAAATTTTTTATGAAAATGCATTCAGCAGTTAACTGTCAGGCACCAGCATTTTTGCAGACTAACACTGGATATGCTTATACCACTGTGGAAAAACTGAAGACATGGGCTGTGGGTGTTTAGATAAGCCAAAGATAGCATTCTAGTAATGCACACAAGTGGCAGACACCACTGATACCTGATTTTTAAAACAAGTTGTTCCACAAGGAACCAGTATGGGCTGGTTGACTATGGATTTGTGTTGTGTTTCTGTATCCTCCCCTGCTGTGACTTCAACTCTCCTCATGGACTTCCATATTCCATAATGCCTCCTGTTTCTCCTTTTTGTCCCCATATCCCTCACTTCTCTTTTCACCCTTACGCCATATAAAAACCATCCCCATCATCCTATGACCCAAAACAATCCACTGGTCAAAAGTCAGCAAGTGCTATAACTGGGTCTGAGATAAGCAGGCAAGCAGAACAAACACAACAAAAACCGGAGCTCGTGTTAACAGCCTTTTTTTCTCCTCTGGAGGACACAGCAATCAGGTGTTTCTCTATCTTCCCTCCTCTATCCAGATGCTGATTTTAAAAGAATTTGTGAGAGCATTGGTTCTTTCAAATTTTTACTGATTCGGCATATGTATTTGAAATTGGCCAGCAATTCAAAAAATGAAAAAAGAGAAGGTTGGAGTAAGAATGGTGAGGACAGGCAGTTGGGCAGATAATTCAAGTAACTTCGTAAGACATTGTTGGAAACTAGGCTAAAATAGAACAAAGCTAAGCTTAATAAAAACAAGTTTTAACTTCTCTTCAGTTAAACCATTTCTTATGTATAATTACATTGTATATGGGCACTGTTGATATACGTGAAGTTTATTCAGTGAGTTTTCCTATAAAAACTCCAGCTTTTTAAAGTTCCTGTTCCAGTTGTACCAGATGAAGTGAAAGTTTCCTTTTCCAAAGTTCAGTTTACCGTGAGTCTTTGCTTTATTGATTTTTCTTCTTTCTTTTTTTTCCTGTTTATTGCCCCATAGGAGCAGTCTCACAGGTGCTGGACAGCCTGGAAGAAATTCATGCACTTACAGACTGCAGCGAAAAAGACTTAGATTTTCTTCACAGTGTTTTCCAGGATCAGCATCTTCACACGCTACTAGATGTAAGTTTTCTGTGATAAACAATTTGAATGCGTTTCCATATCGGTTGTTCATTAGGTAATATTTTGGTTTATCCCAAATATATTCGCTTTTTTTGTTTCATACCAAAATGAATTTATTTAGGTGTGGAAAGTAACAATCAACTAGCACTTTACACAAAAATACCTTTTAGGACGATAAATACAGAATATTTTAGAATATCTAAGTCGTTAATGACTTGGTTTGAATTAAGCTATTCATTTTATTTATCAGAATCATTTTATTCTGATAAAATAACTTACCAGAATAGACTTTTTTCTTTTGATAAGGGCTGGATTTTATTTTTTATTTTAAATGTGAATTGTAACTTTGTAACTGTACAGATTCATTCCTTTATCATTATTTCTAAGTAATGTAATAATCTTAGACCACTTCTGTGGATATTCTTACAAGTACGACATTTTTTGTGTGAAACACCTAGGTATACTTCTTTCTGTCCTATTCTTGAACACAGTATGTAATAGCTCAGTCATTTAAATCTGTATTATTCTGTGGTTCATTAGAGCTATTACTCCATATGACAGCAGTGGGTGTTCCACAAGAAAATGTGCAAAAATTACAAAGCTGGAAGATACAGGTTAGTGCCTTCTGGTAGGCATAATCAGGATCTGGTTCCCGTTTCTTCACTGTCTATCTGTAAGCATGGTTCACTGTCTGGCTACACGTACAGATCAACTGTGATATCAGATGGTTCACAGATTTTTTTTTTTTTTTTTTTCCTTCCAGAAAACTAAAGCGCTCTATTTTGCAAAAATAATTTTGAAAACCAAGTAGTCTGGTGTTTGAGAGAAAAATGCTTGCACACGACTTATCTTTCTGTACCTTCAGGACTTCCTGTTTTCAAAGTTTCTTGTTATCTTGTCACGTGCAGAGATCCTGTTTATATTTCCTAATAGTTTTTTAACCAAGAAGGCCTAACGAGCAAATACATTGTACTTCCTCCAAAATTGTGTGAATTTGGGAAAACATACGTATAGTTTTGAGGTAGAAGTATTTGCTGAACTTCAACTCTCTGCAAAAACAGGGACCTTCAGCATCACTGCAAGCTTACACTCCATCCCTCGCATTGAGTGCCAAGACTCTCACTGAAGGACAAATTCAAAAGCATATCATGCTGTCATTGATTTCTGTGTCTACATAGTATTGCAGTCTAAAATAAAGGTCAAAATGAAGCAGAAGAAACTTTCCCTGATTTTTTTCTGGGTTATATGGATACTTCATGTTGAAGACAGGACTTGCTTACAGGCAAGACAAACTTTTTCTAAAGCAATCTGCACATTCCACTGAGAAAAAGCTCAGGATGGAACCAAATCCACAGAGGCATAGGCTATGTCCACATTAGCAAGTACTACAACGTAACAATAGCAGATCTGTAGAGCAAAGCAGTTGACACTGAGGACACAGTGTTGACAAGTCTGTATTTTGAGGGCTTTTGCTTTATACTAGCTATACTGCAGTCCTATGGACTGAATAATCACTTGCAGGTGAATAGCATCTTATATTTTAGTGTCATGTGAGAGTAAATATGCTCTGGTAACACTGTACAATGAAAACCAATGAATAGTAGGTGGGCATAATCAAAAGATTCATTTAAAAAATGCACTCCTGAATCAAACCAAAATGCTTATGTGACCATTTTATTACTGTGTCTTAAATTTAACAGCTTGGATACCTCAGTAAATGTCACAAATCTAAAAATACGTCTATGTTTTTTTACCCAGTGAAAGACACTCAGGAGTAGGATTCATTCCAGCTATCTGATCTGCTGATGATTATGGTTGTAGAAACTTTAAAGAGTTTCTGGAAAATTCTTGAATGTTTTAGTTCCTATATGCAGCTTTGCAGGGGTATGAGCTGAATGTAAACGGTGCCATAGTTCCTTCGGTGTCCAAACTCTTTAAAATGTGGTAGATTATTTGTACACTTCTTACAATTTGGTTAGTGATTGGTGAATAGTGGGCCACCTGGATTCTGTGCATCCTTCAACTTCAAAGGATTCAAATCCACACATACTTTCTTCCGGAAGAGGAGCCAGCTGCAGGGTTCTGAACTGGCCTGTATGAGAACATAAGCCTTCTGGTAAAGCTTCCCACAACGTAGCTGCCCCTATGACTCAAGGAACCAGAGATAGTTAGCTGTTAAGTGATGAGGGCATTCCTCTGGCACAAGATTCTACAGTTCTAATCTTTGTTCTTGATACCTGTTTATGCATTTTACATTAAACAGTCATTGGATAAAATTATATGAAGCATGCAGGAAGAAGGGTTTAGGAGCTCATGACTTTCCTGAATTGCATCTCCAACAACTCATCTTGCAAATTGCATTAAAATATGAATCTTTTTTCCCAGTGTAAGTTCATCTAACTTGTGTTCCAGAAGCTTAAATTGCTCTGTCTTTTTATATTGCATGCTGCAGTGTAGAAAGGTGATCAGATAATGTGAATGAGAAATAAAAATCTGGACAGGAAGAGAATAACGTGAGTGTAATATTAAGAACCGAAACACTTGTGTAACTCATGTGGGAAGGTTTTAGATATTTATTAACCATTATTATATTGTCATATAACTACTCTTGGGCTTTGGTAAACCAGATGGCCTTAGTTTAAGTATTTTGCTGTATGACAGGTGTACCAGACATTAACTCACGCTTCTGCAATGCTTTTGCTTTTTTCTGTTCTTTACAGTATCAGTCTGGTTCATAGTACTTCACTAATGATCTAATATTTCTGTAATGATCTACTGTAGCCTTTTAAACAAGAAAAAACTGCAATGAATTCGTACCATTTTGCCATTCTTTTATTTAAAATTCACGGTCATTCTCTTAGAAAGGGATACGTTTAAATGCACACTATAATAACGTATTTGTGAGAACAAAAGACTACCAAAAAGCATTTTTGTTTTATTATGCTATGTGGAAGGGGGATGATCGAATCTTCCCAAAGATACTTTGATTAGAATAATACAAAATAAAATTCTAGAAGATTGCAATGTCATGAAATACATATTTGAAAGACTGAAACAAGTTACAGACAGTATTGTTTGAAAGGGTAGTTTTTTCATTTCAGTAACTTGAATGTGGGAGATTAATTTCTGTTTATGCGTTGATACTATTGCACTTTCTCTCAGAACTCTGAAAAAATCATCAGTTGTACTTGAATGAAGCTCTGTCAGGGAAACTGTTTATTCGTCTCGGAGTATTTGGGCCACCAGAACAAGTCACCTGTAAAGCATTAACATTGCACTGAGTAGGAATTTTATAGTACGTTGTGAAGCTGTTGCTGTCACTTTGCATTAAAACTACTGTTCCTCCTCCTTGGCCTTTCTCCAGTTAAATTTGTTCTCATGTTCCTACTCTTTCTCAAGAGTTATCCTTATTTTTAGATTAGGCACATGATGATAGTTCACTCCTGCTGCTGAAATACCTTCTTTTGCTTCTGAACTCTTTGTCCTTTCTTCTTTTTGCTTTCAGAAAATCTTTATGTTAAGACTGCAAGTTACCCACATGTTGTTTTTTTCAGATAATATAGATCACAAAATAGAAGTTGTCTTTCTCAGTAATTCATTAACTTAGGTGTTATGAGGACAGGCACCTCTGAAGGCCATAGAAAGCAGGGTTCCTGTCATCCCGTCGATTGTGTTTAATTGATTCATTTATGTGTTTAGATAGCTATCTTAAGACACTCTTCCACTTTACTTGGGTACCAAAGCTGTTCAAAACCAGGGAGAGAAAGGTGCCAACTACTTAAAAAGTAATTTATATTCACTCTGGGCCAAATCCTGCAATGCACCAGCATATCCTGATGTGGGCTTACTGAATAGTTTCATTGTGTGATTTTTTCATAATTTTACAGAATCCCTCTATTGTGTTGAGTGTTTTTTTCCTGTACAAAGGTTACACAATTCGTTATTAAAAGCTTAATTTTGTTTACTGGGGAGAGTAAAGAAAAGGGCCTTCTAGAAACAAGTATTTAGAAATATTCACTGCCTAAAAAAAAATTATTGTTTAATAATTGATCTTTCTTGTAAAGTAAAGAGTAACTTTGGGTTGGACAGATTTTTTTTTTCCTCGCTTCTGTTAGAAATGTGGTGATCAAAATTTTGGTGAATGCTGTAGGACATTCCTGTGTGTTACTTAGAACTGTCTGGGTTTATGCCTATATAAAGCTTTATAAATTGTTTAATTCTGGTATCCAATTTAGATAATAAAGAATGTAATAAAGTTAAGTAAAGGATATAAATAACTATACAGAAAAACAGAGCTGAATTTAAGTAGCGAAGCAACTTTTTATTACCACTGACAGATTTTTAGAAGCCTTATCAAATGGCTTTGATTAAGATTTTTTTATTGACTTTCATGAAAGAGATCCTGGGAGGCATTGCCGTCTTGTTTCAGCAGTACTGATAAAGAAGTTGGAAATAAATGTGAAGAGGTTACTAATTTTGGAGACGTTGGTGTTTGGCTATTTTCTGTATCATGACAAAAGATTTTACTTTAATGATTATTTGTTTTGAAAAGTATACTGGGCTTCAAGGCTGTGCCGAATGGGGAAGGTCTTTACACATTGTGTTTCATCTCTATCGGTGCATCAAAGGTTTGCTAAAAAGTAAAACCAGAAGCTGCTATTTTATGCAGCTGCCTACATTGAAGGAGACAAGAGAAATCTTTCTTCTGTTGAGTCAAGTAGTTTGGTCACCTCTCCAGGGACGCTTTCTGTGGGTGATTCTGAATGCAGATGTCGTTCGATTTACAAGTGGGATTTTCGCTCAGCAGGAGAACAATATCAGCTTTTGTGTGACTGGGGCCTCTCTATGCTACTGTCTTTGTCTGCGTCTGTCTGTCCCGAGTCAGATAGTTCTGTAGGCTGATATCTTTTGGCTGTTAATTTAAGACGTTTGTTCCATTATTTTCATAGATGGAATCGTTAAGGTAAGTGTTATTATTTCTGCAAGTATATCTGCGATAG